TTTCTCTCATTGGAACAATTATAACCTTTTCCCTATCTAAATGGTAATTGATAGGGATAATTCCAAGGAGGAAATTAATCCAAAGAAAGCACAATGTAAGAACAGACTCTTAGTCTGAAGAGATGAATATTTAAATATATTCATGAAATAAATTATAAGTGTGTGTGTGCGTGCATGTATGTGTGAGGGTACTGAAAGGTTCTCAAGCAAAATATGACCATATGACCAATCATCAGAATTTTGGAAATGGATTTTATGGTCAGGCTCAGACCTAAAACTTTCCACCAACCCCATATATATATATATATATATATATATATATATATATATATATATATATATATTGTATATTTCTACAACAGTCCGCCTATTATGCAAGTTTCATAAAAAATGACTGACAATCCATATATCCAGTTAAAAGTAAAATAAAATTTGTTATAACTATTATTAATCCATACATTGAGGTATTTAAATTTTAATTTGATGTCATTACTTTCATTTCAATTCCATATATATATATATATATATATATATATATATATATATATATATATATATATATGATCTTTTTTTAGGCAAATTAAAGGAATCAATTTTTAAAGTCTGAAGAGATAAATATTTAAATATGTTCATGAAATAAATTATAAATTAAATGGATATTTAAGGATCGCCTTTGCTTATGACTCTTATATGTGTGTGTGTATGGTGTGTGTGTGAGTGTGAGGGTACTAAAAAGTTCTCAAGCAAAATATGACCAAATGACTAATCATCAGAATTTTGGAGATGGTGGATTTTGTGGTCAGGCTCGGACCTAAAACTTTTCACCAACCCCATATATATATATATATATATATATATATGTATAGTGTATTTGGACTGCAGTCACTGTTTTATGGAAGTTTCATTAAAAATGACTGACAATCCATATATCAAGTTAAAAGTAAAATAAAATTTGTTATAACTAGTCCATACACTGAGGTATTTGATTAATTTGATGTCATTACTTCCATTTCAATTCCATATATATATATATATATATATATATATATATATATATATATATATATATATATATATATTAAAAAATGAGACAAGACAGTTTTTAACAGTAATGTAAAATTCATCTTTGATAATGGCTAAAAGTATAGCCAAAATTGCTTGGATGTATAAAACATTCGGACAATTATAATATAATTTATGTCCTGAAAAGAAAAAAAATCATTCTTCTCAATGATTCTTTTCAACCAATACTTCATCAGAAGAAAACGTTGGTAAATATTAATTGACAAAAGAACAACATTTTTCACTGTGAGAAAATATATAGTGGAGAAAAAAGCAGAAAAAGGAAGCATGACTAAAATACAAATTTATTAATAAAAACAAGAGGTGGGGGGTGAGGAAATATACTGGCAAAAGAGCTAATGTAAAGGGTTCCTGGAGACCATAAAATGGAAAAATGTATTCACATACTTCCCAAAAGACAGGGACAGTGAACAAAATGCTTGTTCTGTCTGCACAGAGATGGTTGATGTAACTTAATAAATTAGCTCTTTTTCCAGTACATTTTCTTTTTTTCCCTCCCTCATTTTTATTAATAAATTTGTATATTTTTTGTGCTTTGGGACCTTTGACTAAATGTAACAGAAATTTTAGAATGCAAAATTGCAGATAAGAGTGTGGAACTAGCCAACTCCACCCTGTACAAATTTACTTGCTACAGAAACAACAGCAGCAACATCTAGTGTAGTGAGTTTGTGGGACCTATATTTGGTAAGGAAGTTGAAAGGGTTAACATAAGATTATTGTTCCTTTACTTGGCTTTGTGCTATTGTAGGCTCAATTTTGCAAATATCCAGGATTTGGTCTTTTTTAATTGCCAGACTAAAACAAGAATTTTAAATTTAGATAAATGTTTGCTTTGGGGAAAAAATGAGGTATTTCTCTGAGTGGTTGATGTTCTCATTAAAGTAAAAATCAGATAAAATACTGAATTTTCAATGCAAGCAGAGGGCATCTTCACTTGTAAAGCTGATGAAACACAATTTTTGTATGTCTTTTGGGCATTAAGCTCACTCCAAAACTCAAATGGAATTCATATATACAATCCATTGCTAAAGATGATGGAAAATGGTTTATTGCTGCTATATCTGAGCTGGAAGCGCTCTGTTATTACTTTCCAATCTTGAGAGTTCCAAATCATTTATGCAGTTTTATGGCGGAAGTCTTATTTTCCACACTGCAGCCTCTTTCCCACAGCCGAGACAATACAAACCAGTCACTACTCTATCACTATTTCTTTGGAAAATGATCAGATGAGTTCCATTCTTTAGTTCCACCAGTTCAGACCTTTACAGCTAGGATATGCCATGCTATTGAGTTGAATCATCCTCATTTCCTCCATGTTCCAAATCTAAGAATAAAGTTCCCCTCAGAATGTTTTTTCTCAAAAACTGACACTTTGTGGAACAGACTCCTGCATGGTTGCTTTCCTAAAAACTAAAATCTTAACCATATCAAGTCAAGGGTCAATCATTATCTATCCTCCTTATCTTCATAACCTTGCTTCCTATCACTTCCTCTTTCATTCATCATAATCATTTTAATAGTAACTGTCTACCTTGAGTGGTTCTCAGGCCTTGAATTGTGTGAATTTTAGAATAAAAAAGATATGTGACATTATAAGATTATCGGATACATCATCAGCACTGTTTTCTTTGTTTATAATGAAATTTTTCTGTTTCTTAATACTTTGTTTAGCTTTGGGAAGGCAACTTTTTTGTTATTTCTGTGTTACATTTTCCATTGTCTGTTAAAAATTTCCCAGATAGTTAAATTTCTGTACTTGCTTGATTTTGATGTCTCCAGACTGTATCTTGTATTTTGGGCAGTTCCTCTTGCTGATGATCATACATTGTCTTTTTATAATTGACAGACCTTTCTTCCTGTTTTCCTTTACTACCTTGTCTAGGAGTTTTGGTAGTTTTCTTCCTGCATCTGATATCAACACAATGTCATCTGTGTATCATTTTAAATTACCTGCAAAAGTAATTAAAAAGGAGTTAAATAAATAGAAAAAAAAACCAGAATAATATGAAAAATAATTAGAGAAAAATCACATAAGATGAATTTGAAATTTTGTTAAAGAAAAATTGTTGAATGAATGGGTCAGTGATCAGTTTGATCAGCCTTTCATCTGCCTCTCCATTTTAGGACTTCATATATATGTATATAACGATATGAATGGCCTTGATTGTGACATGTTGGAATTTTAATAAATATTGAACCCTGTAAAAAAAGACAGTTTTTTTTTAAATTTTGATTTTCAATCATTTCAATAGACTTTTTTTTACAATAATGTTCACCCTGTACAAGGTGCAAGAGCCACTCGAAGTATGGAGTTATAGACTAAGAGGCATCACCCCAAGCAAGGTGATAATAATGTCACCAAGATGCAAAAGGCCACCGGAAGTGAAACTGGAGGAAAAGACTTTAGTGAACCGGAATCACAATCCTAAACAGGAAATAAGGAATAAACTTCTATTTCTGTTCAAAACATACAATTTTTTATTAAATCATCATGTGAATAGAGATGGAAGGGAAATTATTATTGCAATTGTGGTATTTACCAATTAAAATATTGTCAGTTGTCATATTGAGTGTCTTCCCTTTTTTTTACTGTACTTGTAAATATGGCAAAAAAAAAAAAAAAAAATGAACGAAATCATTTTCAAAATATTATTAACGTGTATTTCCTAATAGAAACTATTAGATTTCCTTTTTAATGATTCAAGATGAATTTTTTTTACAACAAAAACTTTGAAATGCATCAATTAGGAGTACTGTAATTATGGGCTTTGTGGTCAGTGATAGTGTCACAATGGTGGTCATTTGCAAATTCAGTACAACCTGGTAAAAAAAAATACACATTTATTTTATTTTTTCTAATGTCACAACTTTGATTCTATATTATACAGCAAGATATACTTGGTAAAATAATGTGTAAAATATCTTCTCAAGAAATTATTCGGTCTATTAATTATAAGTTGTTTTTTTTTTTTTTAAATCCATTTTATTTTGTGTAATGTAACGATAATTGTAATTTTAAATGTTTTATGAGGTTTTTGGGTGATTTATGGCTAAAAAAAAGTCTTTGGAGTTTGGGGGAATATGTGTTGTTGTAGAAAGATTTTTGTTCCATTTAATCTTCCATGTACGATTGGCCTATTTTTACTTTGAATACCTGTTTTTGTCTCTGGATTCAAACACTAGCCGTATCGCAAATTCTTTTAAAAATGGTCTTCTTTTCTCGGAAATTTGGTTTACCGTCTACAAGATTAAAAAATAGAATAGAATAGAACCTTATACAGTTCCATCTTAAAAAGAATAATACTTTATTCTCAAATGATTGCTTTAAGTTAAAACAACTATGTTGAATAAAAATCAATTTGGCGCCATTACCTGAAAAACGTGAACATCTCCATTGAAAACACTGACAATTCGTTTTCTGGTTTATTGGGTAAGAAAAAGATTCCTCATTTACTCATATTTTACATTGTTGTCCTTCAAATTAAAAGCAGGCAACGACTTTTCTTTTGTTTCTTATTTAAAAAGACAATTGAATTTTGTCTCCGTACTCAACTTTTATATAGCCAAGAGCCAAGATTAACCACTTTCAAGAGGTGAAATCGTCAACTTCTTTTTGATGTGTTCCTTCCAGAACGTGGGCGATCATAGCTTTCCACAACTAAGTAATAATGTTTGTAATAAGTTTGTATCCTTCCCAGTACCTATACCATCATTAGATTGTTTATTCCCTTTGAACATTTTTCTGTTAAAAACAAAAAGAACACCTTTTGGCTTTTAGAGACGGAAATTAACCAAAGTACAGTTCTAGACCATCCTATCACTTTCCATCTCCGCATTACAGCTAAATGGCGGGGAGGATCAGGATCGACCCCTGATGTCTGAGGTGTCTCCCCACAACCCCCGAAAAAGGAAAAATGCCAAACGAACTGGACAATTTCTGGTACGATCTGCATGCGGGGGTTTCCTTTTGCGACCTTGTCTTCAAAGTTCAAACCTACCATTGTGGTGGGATCAGTAATTAATCCCATCATTGTTTTCAGTGCACTCAGTCACAAATCGTCCCCAAGAAAGCCCTTGGACTACTAAAATATTATATTTTTTTTCTTTGATAGAAATGGGCAGATTTAGTTTAAATTTCTTTCCAATAATTATTTAAACGTGGTTTTAAATTTTGGAATGATTCTTTGTCTTAATTATAAAGTTGATTGTTGAACTCAGAACAACATCAAAATTCATATTTTCATTTTTACCCAAAATTTATCATGTAGGTAGATCCTCCCAAATACGGTAACTTGCATATATTTTCTTTTAAAAAAATGACTGTTTTTGATAACATAAGTTACGATAAACCTCCATTCCCCAATTTCAACAGTGATTAAGAAAAAATAAAAATGTTTAAATTAATAAATGTTCCAGCTTCACATATGCCGACAGACATTTTTTTTGTTGTAGGAAAAACGTTTAAAAACCGTTATAAAGTATCTTTGTGAAAAGAAAAGAAAAGAAAATTATATTTCATTTAAAATAAATGGTAAACTTTTGAAACAAATATTTTTAAATTGTTGCCGAGAGAACTCAGTTGTAAATAATAAACTAGAAGTAGTATTTAATTCGATCAGTTTAGTGTTAATTTTAATTTAAATTTTAAAAATTGATGACAGTTATCATTTATTTTAATTTAAATTGATGAGACTTAATTATGACTAAAATTTAGTTAAATTAAAATATTTTATAAATGGAAATATTTTTATTTTTTATGGAGACATTAAAATTAAATTACGTATATTTTTAATTTTCTACAATTTTATGACTTTTTTTCTTCCATAATATTTTCTTCCCAGTCATTTTTTTTTTAGCTATTTCTGTTTTGGGAAGTTTGGGAGGAAATTTTTTTTTTTTTTTTTAGTCAATCAAATACACTAGTATTTAATCTTATGATACTTTGTCATTTAAAACATTTTTAATTGGGTATCTTAAATAAATTTGTTGTTTTTACAAATGAGATGATATTTTTTAAACCGAATCAGCGTTATGGGCTATTTTTATCATGTAAAGTAAAAGTAGAAATATTGCTTTAGCAATAAAAGTTAAAATCATATCTACAAAGTTGTTTTTTAAATTTTATTTTACTTTGAATATTGTCCTAGATTAATAAACAATATCTTTCAAGTAGTCATTGATAGAAAAAAAGAATATACAGTACACTATGGCTGAAAAGTTACATCATTTAAGAAAGATGATTTTTTTAGTCAAATTTTCTTTGAAGCAGAAAGTTCAAATACAATTTTTATTTTTACACTTTGACAGGGTGTTCCAAAAGTCGCACTACCATTGATAACCTTGTAAATTTTATATTTATTTCCCAAAATGGAATCATGTTTCTGTATGTGACAATATATTATTAAGAAATTTTATTGCTCGAATTATGGAAGTTAATGTCATGCTAGCAGCTAATTTTGCTTGGTTGCTATTTCACAAGATGTTTTCTGCCAATTGTTGCGTGATGTTTTTGTTTTTTGGAACACTGTACAATAATAGTGAAGAGAGAAAGAGAAGTTAAAGAAACAAAAAGAAAGTATATTAGTCTTGTAACATTAATTTTAATACAAAAATTGAAATATAATTAAAATTTTACTTTAAAATTCAGAAAAGAAAATTTATCAAGGAAGCCATTGAAGAAATTATGCCTGGCATAGGGTTTCCCTCAAAATTAATTTCCATCCATTTTTTTCAACTTATTTTCTGTTTTTAATTTCTATATTTGATAAACAAAGAAAGGTTGACAAAGAAAAAGCAAACTTTCCTTCTGGTTCGATGCTGATATTGAAAATGTTGATAGAGAAAATATTCACAACTTTTTTAAATTCAACTTCATCACTAGAGAAAAAAAAGTTTTAACACTTCGACATAATTTTATTAATCTGTACTTAAAAAAAAAAAAATCACAAACAAATAAAAAAAAATGAAGTACTGTCTTCTCTTAACTTCATAACTTTATCGATTTCAGAAAATAAATTGATTTTTTTTTTATCAACTCTACTTTCACTACACTACTAGGTGCATATTTTAATTTTGAATTTTTCACTTTTAAAAAAATTTAATGTCCATGATTCACAAGTACTCAACTGTATTTTCAAGATATTTGATTTTGCGTCACTTCTGCGTGAAAATTGAAAAAATGATAATAATTATATTGAAAAAAATATTCTTACTCTTTCTTTTACCAATTAAAATAGTATAGTTTTTTCCCTAAAAAGTTCACATATTTTGACTCGAATTTACAGCCTCATGAAGTGAAATATTTTTTTAGTTCTGGTTCATTGAGGTCTTAAAAAATTAGTAATTTCAACCGAAAGTACTAAAAAGTATTGAAGTTTCTATTTTTTTTTTTTAATATGTAGTATTTTTTATCATTACTGTGATACATGTTTGTAATTTAAAAAAAAAAGTTTAAAAATTGAAAGCTATGAAATTTTTAAATAAAAACTATTTTTATTTTTCGATTTCTTACATTTTTTGGTTTAATTAATTTTCTTAATTTTTTTTAGTTACTTTTAATTTTTACATTCCCTTAATTCATTTTTTTAGTTTTGTTTGTTTCTTTATTCTGTCAAGTTCTTATTTTATTCATATTATTGATAGAAAATTTCCATAACAATATATAAACTAAATGCGCACACTTTTAACGGAGAAAACTCCAAAAAGCAGTTGTATTGTTAGTTTTTTTTAATAACATTCTTTTCCTAAAGTAAAATTTATCTGGCTAATAAAGTTTGCCAAAAATAAAATCTAACAGAACATAAACGCTTGAAGAGTCAAGAGTTACCTCCCTTTATTGGTTATCTTTATTGTTCGCTAGGTGTCGTAAGCTTCTTTACTTCAATCTATTCAAAAGCAAGATGGCGGAGGGCTCAGTGTAATATCTTGTAGCCACGAACAGACTGTTTATAACTGGTCCTCGTCATTCTTCCAGCTTCAATTCTACTCTGTGGTATGCATCATTCTCACAAGTCAAGTACCCGTTTATTTTTTTGTTATTTTTGAAAGCTTACAGAGCTCAGATAAAACACACACAAGTATTCATCGCACCATCTCGTTCTATTTCATCTCTCTTTATTGTTATACTTCTTCCCCCTCCCTTATTTTTCGTAGCATTTCGCTCCCTTTTCTCTTTCTCCCTCTCTCTCTCATTCTTGTCTCTCTGCACAGACACGCAGTCATCGACGACAACGCTTCTATTTATTTATTTTTTTTTTTTAGCGACCAACATGGCAAGCACTAAATGTGCCTATTGTGATTTTGAATTTGATAATTCTCGCTACATCCACTGCACCGAATGTCCATCGTTTGACCTGTGTCTTGTATGTTTCTCCAACGGTGCTGAGATAGGCAATCATCACAAAGACCACAGTTACCGGATCATCCACCAGAACTCGAAGATCGCGCATGTCTTCGAGACGACCAAACCTTGGAGCATAGCAGAAGAAACGATGTTGCTTGATGCCGTAGAACAGTACGGTTTCGGAAATTGGGAAGATGTTGCAAATCACGTCAACAGTCGAACAACTGCCGAGTGTCAAGACCACTTCGTTACTTTCTATATCCACGGAAATGTTGGCGCCGTTTGTTTTCCTGATGACAATTCGAGATCTAATTACCGACCAATAGCCGACAGTACCCCTCCTGTCAGAAGTGGCCGGACAAGTGGAACAAACAGCGAGACAGGGTCAGGCAACGGCGGTGACAACGCTGGTTTGACTAATGGAACAGCTGCGCCAACGGTTGATTTGTCCGCATCTGAACAGAAAGACCTTGGCTACATGATGTTTCGCGGTGATTTTGAAAGGGAATATGACAACGAAGCGGAAAGTGTTATTAGTTCTCTTGCAATCAATTACGACGACGAGGAAATGGACATCCTGTTCAAGCTGTCTCAGGTGGACCGCTATCGATACCGTCTTTCCGATCGCGAACAAAGAAAGGTTCTGGCACGTGAATTTGGTCTTTTGTCGTCTGCAACCATTTTCACGTCCAGCACCAGTGGCGGTAAACCAAAGTCACAGCAGACCAAGAAGACTAAATCCTCGTCGTCGGGATCATCATCGCCAAAAGACGACAAGGAGATCGTGGAGAAGTTGCGTGTGTTTGCACGCTTCCTTTCGTTTAAGGATCACAAACAGTATTGCGACAACCTGCAACGCGAAAAGGACTTGCGCAGCCAAATCAAAGATCTTGCACGATATCGTCGTAATGGACTCACTAAAACCGATGAGGTGGATGCTTTCGAGGACCACAAGAACAAGAAGGAACGGCGTGCGGACCGAAATAAAAAGACGTCCAATTCTTCATCTACAAACAAGCGCTCAACCTCGTCATCCCTATCATCTTCGGCAGTTTCTAAAAAGAACGAAGGCAAAACAGAGATCGATGACAACGACGATGAAAACATGGATGATGATGAAAATGATAACAAAGATATGTCATCCTTACCTAACTTTGAGCAACTCTCAAGTAGCGAGAAGAAACTCTGCAGCAACCTTCGACTAACACCATCCAATTACATAACAATAAAAACTTGTATCATCAAAGACTACTTGCAGCGACAGCAAGGGCATCCGGTTAAAATCAGATACCCTAGCTATTTGGACAAAACGCACCGGCGAAAAATTATCAGTTTCCTATCAAATAATGGTTGGATCTGTGTAACGTAGAAGTTGAAAAAAAATGTTCGCTACCTTTTTTTTTTTTTTAATTTTATTTTGAAGATATTTTTTTTTTAAACAGTTCAAACAAAAAGACAATATTTTTTATGAAAAAATGAAGACCAGGAATGGATAATTATTCAGGTATGTAATTTTTTTTTTTTTTTTTTTTTAAATTAAAAAAAAAAAAAATTATTTTAATATTAAGATCATACCGGTCAGATTATTTATGAAATAATAACTATTCTTGCTTACATGAGTTTTAAATATTTTTATTTTTTTTATTGCATTTTATTTTTATATTTTAATTTTATTTTCTACTTTTGAACTTTTATTTTATTTCATTTACTTTGATTCTGGTTTATATATATATATATATATATATATATATATATATTTATTGTTAATTTAAATGACAAAAATGTGACTTTCTAGCAGCAGTGTGAGTAATATTTGTTGCAGGTTTTCTATGAATGGAAATCACGTAAACAAATATGAATGAACTTTTTATAATGGCTCATTTGATGTAGGTTTCCGATAGGTTTTTTATTTACTTTTTACATTTTAGTTTACAAGTTCACCATTTGATCATGAATCTCACTTTTTTTTTTTTGACTCCAGTAAAAATTCGTTATAACGTGAACTTTGATTTCTTTTTCTGTGTATCGAGAAACTAAGGAAAAAAAAATGCTGAATTTGTTACGTTACCTAAGCTGAAGATTTGGAAGTTATTGATCTTTAAGAGTAGAGATTACTTTATGGCTGATTGATTTGTTTTTCATCAAAGTAGAACACTAAGCGGTAAAAAATAAGTAATTACATTATTGAATGTCAGGAAATATTTTAGGAAACAACCAAGTAAAAAAAAAAAAATAAAAACAAGTAATCGGTGGTTGCTTAAGAAACGAGTATTCATTGGGAACTTTTTTTTTTTTTTAAATATGATTTCAAAGAGTTGGGTGATTTAATAACTTGTAAATTCTCTTACGACTACAAAATATTTATAAATATTACTAAAAACCCTAACCTTCCAAACTCTTGGAAATCGTATTTCCCGCAAGTAAACGCGCATGCGTATTTCGCAGCAAGTGTGCTCATGATGGCGTCTTACACAAGTAACTTAGAGTTTGTTTTCTTTTATCTTATTTTATTTTTAAAAAATTTTAGCTGGTGGTTCCATAAAACAGTTTTTGGCACACAAATTGTTTAATTACATATTCTTTTGTTGTATTTTTGAAGCGTCTACTTACCATTTTATTTTATATCTGTACAAGAACTCAAAATGAAAAAAAATAATGTTCACTCATAATATTTAAACTAAAGGAATACAAATGAATGAAAAAACTTGAATTTCAAAGTTGCAGAAATTTTGCCTTGTATAGTAAGTTATTTGTAATTGTAAATCTTTAAAAGATTCTATAAAGTCAATAACCATTTTTTCTAAACTTGGGAACGACTTGTAAAATCTTAGATAAATTTTCTTTTGAATGTTAAAATATTTTAATGGGTGTAAATATTTGATTTTATTCAAGGTGAAAATTTATACCCCAAAACACATAATCTTAAATTATAAATCATAAAATTTTTTTCAGTAATTATTTTTAATATATCAGTTGGTATAATTTTTAACATAAATTTTGAGAATAAAAATTAAATAGTTTAAATGATTTTAAAAATATAAACAATTTATTTAAGAAAGTCATAGTTGTAAACAATTTAAACTTGAATTGTATTTTTAAATGCAATCTAAAATGATCATTTTTTTTAGATCTTGTACAGTTATAATAACTAAATTTTAATGAAATTTCAGTTTGTAAAACAGTTTTCCAGATATTTCTGAATAGACATTGTAATTTTAGAAAATTATATTTTATTTGTTTTATTTAGAATTTATGGCTAATTTTTAATTTAATTTTAGTATGTATCATACAAGAAAGATTAGCATGACTGTTGTAACTGATTATTTGATTAAATGATTAGAAATACAACATTAACAACTGTAAATTTCTAAATGTTTCCATGTTCTTTAATCATATTCATGGAGGGGATTTTACAAGTGTGGTGTAATTTACTATAATCCTTGCAAAGAATTCCAGTTAAAGTGTCTTAAGGGTCTGCTAATTCAAACATAATATCACTTAAAGTTACTGATCAAAATAATCTAGCAATATTTCAGAATTTAAATATATGAAGTTCAATATAACCATCATGACATCCAGTCTGATATGGGTATACCAAGCACATGTGTCACAGCCAAATGTGTGATATGGTGACAGATTTTGATAAAAGCTGGGTATAACATTGCATGTGGGACCCCAGAAATGCCTTCTAATAGTGTATTCCAGTCTGCTTGAATGGTTTCTAATTGAGTGTCCCCAGGTCAATGTGAGTGCCTCATTGTTCAAACTTGAAAAAAAAATAAAAACAACCTCCTCAACACTTGGACATGATACTCTGCCACTGCGCTCATGCACAGTGGGGTTCAGGCCCTAGTTGACATGATTAACTGATTATGGTCAGGCAAATCTGTGGTACTGAACATGATAGGTTACTGTAGCACATCTTTATTCACCAAAATGGAACATTAACACTTTTAATCAATAAGAGCCAGGATTTTTGTAATTTAGCAAAATTTTCATGATACCTAAGTTTTGTAACTTGTGCTGTGCATCATTGTTTTTCACCTGTATATTCTGCCTCTTGCAATTTTAGAAAACTAATGAAGGGATTCATAGAAAGATTTGCACTGTTAATATGCAGAATATTTCACATGATATTCATAAATTATCCTCAACTACATGTCACTTTTATGATGTAGCAATAAGTTTATCAATTTTACTTAATTTTCAAAGTTTTACATTATTAACCAGGTTACTTAAAGTGTTGTCAATTAAAAATGATAGTTATAGATAGTGTGCCAAGTTTATCAAGACAATATTTTGATAAAAAAAATTGAAAACCATGTCATTGTAACGAATACAAAGTTATAAAAAGACAACATTGATGTGAAATTTATGATCGTGTTCTGAAATTAGTTCGAGAAGTCATTCATCTATTGATTTTTTTTTTTTTTTTTGTGAACTGTTGTATTTCTTAATATGAAATAGATTACAGTAAATTGCTGTCTGTATGTAAACTTTCCTCTTTGGGATGCTCAACAATTGAGTTAAGTTAGCATAAACAAGATTATTCTCTTCATATATTCTTTAGTTTCCTTTACTGAATGTGATGGAGCATTGTTATGTATGAAAAATTATCTTTCTGAAAGTGTTTAGCTTCTTCTTGAATCATAGCGCCACATGTACCTTCAAAACCTCAATGTATGTCTGAGTTTTCATCATCTGATATTCACCACTTGCCTACCACTTCAGCACCTATAACTCCACCCTAAGACATAATTTACTTTGATAACATCTTGACCTGCAAGAGTAGTTCCCCTTCCCCAATAAACACCCACCCATTACTCCATCTGTCTGGTTCATCATTCTTTGTAATTTTGCCCATATTAGTGGGGAAAATCAAGCTGTAATTCTTTATTCATATTATTTACATCTGGGGGATCTCCAAGCACCTGAAGATTACTTATGGGGCACTATGGTTGCAACATTGTGATAATAATAACAACAACAATGAGGACAATTGCTTAAGTGTAAATAATGTAAATTCCTCATTTCAGAAATTCAGGCTGTAACTGCTTTTATTAGATTTGAGATTTTACTGATGTTAATTCTAAATAATTGCATAATTTTCATTCAAATTGTAAACAGGTGCATCATTGCTTATGATCCTCAGAAATTATATCCTAGGTATTATCACAGATTTTTTATAATTTTGAATCATTGCAACATTGTTGAAGTTTTGATTGCAAGAAAAGAAAAAACCCTGTATTTTTTATTAAAGAAAAGAAAATTTTGCATGCTTAAAGCAGGTTTTAAATATTTGAATTATGTTACTTGATTATTAGTGACAAACTTTATTTTCTTGCAATTTAAAAAGATTGTGATGTTATCAATAATATTCAGATGTAAATATCTGCAAAAAATATAACTTAATTTCCATCTTGAGCAATTTTAGAAAGTATGAAGAAATTTTGTGTGTATATTTTATAACCTTGGTTTCATTGGTGATTGCAATGAGAATTGATTTATTGAAATGAAAGCTAATTTATTTTTAAATTGATATACAAAGTTATTGTTTAATGTCAACTTTAGTTTGATTTTTTTTTTTTTAAATCAGTTAAATTCTATAAAATTCCAACTGAATATTAATAAAGTGTATGTATATACATCTGTTCATCAATTGCTTTAATCTCAACAATTCATATACAAACTGAAGTAACAGGTAGTAATTACTGTAGTTATATGCGATTTAAAAATTAAATAACTCATTTTGAGTTAAATTTGAATATAAACTGTGAACAGTTTAAAAACAATTCTTTATTAAAGGTTTAACTTTAATTTCTGTTTTGGTTGCAATTGATATTGCCTAATTAAACCATAATTAAAACTTAAGAGGGGCACAGTTTATTGCTCATATGTTTTTTCTTTCTTATTCTAGCAGATGTAACGTATCCCAAATATTACATAGTTTGGGTCCCCAAATGTCATTTAAGAGTGACTTTATGTGAAGTGATCATAAAGAATGGTGATTTTAAAAGAAAAGAAAAATTTAATGCAAAATAAATGTAAACTATGGAAATTGGTTGCATATACAAAGAAAGATTATGCCAATTTAAGGTGTCAAATAAAGATAAAATAATTTTATTATTTTAAAATTCTTGTAACTTTTATGTACATAGGATGCTGAAGGTAAAAGGTTGAAGGACCAAAAGCCCTCTTCAGGAGCTAAGGTCTGTCCAAAGGGTGGCTCCTAGGCTAGTAAATACTAAATGTGCAATACATGCTCAGTATCGTTGTCACAATTTTTTCCCAGTATTTAGACTGGTAACAAATCATTTCAGTGTTTTAAATAACTTATAAAATATTACTGTATACAAACCTATACTTTCTATAGGTCAATATAAACATTTTCTATTGAAACAATCTTTATTGTTATCTACCTTTTTCATGTAACAGATTGGCTATTACCTATGCTATGTAATTCTACATTCTAAAACTTAACTATATCATTTCAGTTTGTAACTA